CCCGCGCCGCGACCCCGGTCCAGCCCCGGGGCTCCGACCTTGCTCCTCTGTGGTGCCTAGGATTTCCCAACCCGAGGGGGTGTGAGCGAGCTGCCGTCTGTTCTCCCAGGCTTGGGGCCCTACCTGGAAGAGAAGGGCGGGCCGAGCCAGGGGCAGGGGTGGCAGTGGCAGTAGGAGAGCGCGGGAGCTGGAGGGAGCGCCCTGGGGCGGGCTGCGTGGTCAGCAAGGAGAGTTAGAGAAGGTCCAGGAGACCCCATTGGACTTGGAAACCAGAAGGCCATTGATAATCCTGATGCCACAACAGATGGTTAGGCTGCGGGTGGAGGCCGGTCTAGAGGATTCTTTCCAGGGGAAGGTCATTGTTTCAAAGCCATGATATATATATATATAATCATGGAGAGAGAGAGAGATAGGTTTGGGAGAAGCAGGCATTCGGAGGCACTGTTTCAAAGCCACAGACAGCAGCATCTGTGGGAGGCCGGTCTAGAGGACTCTTTCCAGGGGAAGGTCATTGTTTCAAAGCCATGATATATATATGTGTATATATATATATATATATCATGGAGAGAGAGAGAGGACTCTTTCCAGGGGAAGGTCATTGTTTCAAAGCCATGATATATATATGTGTATATATATATATATATCATGGAGAGAGAGAGAGATAGGTTTGGGAGAAGCAGGCATTCGGAGGCACTGTTTCAAATACACAGACAGCAGCATCTGTGGCTCCATCCCACTTCATTTTATTCTGGGATCCACACCTGCTGATCCCAGTCCCGCTAGTCCTGGTCCTTAAGTGGTAACTGACTCCGGTCAGGCACAGTGATTCTGGCAAAGTAGATTCCGGGGGATGCCTGGGGTGATGGGGTGTCATCGACACACAGTGATACTAGTCCCCCTCCCTGTTCACAGATGCTGTGCTGTCTGCAGATATTTAGGGAACACCTACTCTGTTAGGACCTGGGGAGATGAAGTTGAACAACCGGACATCTTTGGTCAGCACACCTGTGGGAGCTGGGATAGGCAGGTACTGGATGAAGCCAGGGAGTAAGTAGGGCCTGCCTGCAAGAACAGGACAGAAAAGTGGATAGGATTTAAACTAGTGTTTTCAGAAGTATTTCCCAAACGTTTCTCTGGGGCCTGCTGGACTGATCTCAACCCCCACCCCAACTCACTGCTGTGGAATGGGTGCTGACTCACAGCTAATGGAATGGATGGATGCCGATGCACAGCACAGGGTTGAATTGCTCCGGTGGCTTTCTGAGACCCTAACTCTTAGGGGGTGGGGGTGGGGGCTGCAAAAGCAGATACCCTTTATCTTGGATTATGTGCAAAAGTTTTTATTTAAAAAATTATTTCTTAACCATTTGCCAATCTTGGGTTTAATTTTACAAGAAGCTTACTGTACCTTTCCCTGAAGCAGTATTTAAAGTCTTAAGAATCGTTAGGAAAACTCATCGTTCCAATGGCAGTCATGTTGGAGAAGGGCTTAGGAAATGTATTTCTTTCTTTCGTTTTTCTTGTTTTAACTTTTATTTTAAGCTGAGTTTACTCCTGATCCACAAGTTTTTGCTTCTTCAGTTTCTTCTGGGAGACTTTTTATTCTGTGCAACTTCCTCTTTCAGTTTAGGAACAGTTTGTTCTTTTCAGTAAGGGTGTGGGGGGAACTTGTGTTTGGGTTGATCCAATCATGAGCTCTCTAAGTCCAGCGGCACATCTGGGGGCTTTGTTCACCTGCATGTGGTCAGTGACCAGAGAATCCACATATAAACCCTCCAGCTCAGCATGACTCTCTGCATTTTGAAGCGTGGGCAGCAAAAATGCAGTACTCTTTTTAGGCCAGAGACTCCACATATAAACCCTACAGCTCAGCATGACTCTCTGCATTTTGAAGCGTGGGCAGCAAAAATTCAGTACTCTTTTTAGGCCACCGACCCTGGGTCCAGCCCCACTGTTTGGCCTGGGGAATTTGAGGTGAGAGGCAGAATTTCCTTCCAGCCTTTCCACCAAAATATGAAATTGACCAAGCACCTTTTAGAGC